AGTTCGGCTTTTCATTGAACATTGAGAAAACCAAAGTGCTCTTCCAGCAGGCACCAACCAATCCCTCTGTAATGCCAGAAATACAGTTTAATGAAGTAACATTAGAAAATGTTGGCCATTTCTGCTAGCTTGGCAGCCACCTTTCCACAAAAGTCAACATTGACACTGAAATACAACACTGCCTGAGCTCTGCAAGTGCAGCATTTTTCCAAATGAAGCAGAGAGTGTTTGAGGACTGGAACATCTGTAGGGAGACCAAGGTGCTTGTTTATAAAACTATTGTCCTCCCAACCCTGTTATATGCCTGTGAAATGTGGACCATCTACAGGCATCACACTCAACTCCTGGAACAATTCCATCAGTATTGCCTCCAAAAAAATCCTGCAAATCTCTTGGGTAGACAAGCATACAAATGTCAGCATACTGGAAGAAACAAAGACCACCAGCGATGCTCCTGTGCCATCAACTCTACTAGACCGGCTCCATTGTCCCATCTCCCAAAGCACTTCCTCTACTCTCAATTGAAGAATGGAAAATGGAATGTTGGTGGACAGGAAACGATATTTAAAGATGGAATTAAAGCTAACCTTAAAAACTGTGGCATAGACATGGAGAACTGGGAAGCCCTGGCACTTGAGCACTCTCACTGGAGTTCAGTTGTGACCAGCAGTTCTGTGGAATTCGAAGAGACATGAATGGAGAGCAAAATGGAGAAATGTTTCAAGAGGAAGACGCATCAAGCCAACCCTGACCAGGACCACTTCCACCTGGAAACTGATGCCCTCACTGTGGAAGAACATGTGGATCAAGAATTGGGCTCTACTCTTGGAAGGCCATCATACTCGGACAATGAAGGATCACCTAAAATGAGATACCAGCACTTTTTGACAGAGAAGACTTTGTAAAACTACAACTCCCATTGAACTGCATTGAGCCATGGCAGTTAAAGAGATGTCAAACTGCATTAATCTACAATGTAGATACAGTCCTAGTCCCTGTACAGATTGCCCACTATGTAGAAGTTAGGCAATGAAGCCATTTCAGTTCAGGCATATGCATGTATGTGTGTTCATGTTCATACATATATGAAAAAGAAAGGAAAAGTTTCAATAATCATCAGCATTATCATCAACATATCATACTATGATTATTTTCCTATTCATGTCTTGTTTTGCGCAATGATGTTATTACATATATGATCTCTCTCTCTCACACACACACCTCCATCAATCTGTCTCACTATTTAATGCAGTAGTTTGTTGTCAAATGAGTTGGATCAATCAATGATTGGTATCCTGTTAGTGACGTGTGTATATACAGGTGCAACTTCTGAATATATATCTTCCTATATGGATGGGTAGCCCTTATGCGCCATTCCAAAATATCTCTCCAGGCAGCTATAATGGCGAAAGGAACACCTGCTGCTTATGATTTTTTAAAAAATATTACATTTAAGCTCTCTATTTATCTGGATCCCATACTTAAGGACAAAGAGATATGAATTAAAATTAAAATTAAATACTTTGAGGCAATCAGGGAATATGTGTGCTCTGATAAAGTCACACAACCAGCCATCTCTCTTTAATTCAGAGATGGGCTGCTAGAAGTGTCCCTCATCCGATCCTGGCTCACATATGGAGGTCCTTGGCACTATGGTATGGACCCTCACTTGAGATAATTTCCTTCCATGTCTGTATGCTTTTATCTGTGTTGCAATTCTCTTTAGTTTTCTTCGGAGAATTAGTCATAGCAGCATGGCTTGAAATAGCTATGTTTGCTATTGATCCCCACCCCCACCCCAGATTGAGCTCCAAACATCGAAAAGCACTAATGAGTAATCGATATCCCGTTGTGCAACAAATACAATTGGTACTTTCTAACTTTGTCCAATCATTTATTCATAAATTCCATCTTTCCATCCATTACCATAAAATATTATGAACCACTTTAAACATTATGCACAGAATTCTATTTCTGTGTAGTAGTCGTGTTGATTAGGCATGTTAAAAATAGTCTGTTTCCATACATAACAGAAAATAAAAGCCAGAGAAAATGAGGAAGTCTTAAAACAGAAAGATTTTAAAATAGTGTGGACATTTACTACTTAATAATAATTTATAGCTGGATGCATTTCCAGGATGCTGCAAGATGGACTTCTGCTGAAGACATGCTTTTAACACAATGATTATTGTATCTACATGTGTATAAGTTGAGAAATTTTAGACCAAAAATTGACCCCCAAAACCCAGACCAATTTATCCACTGATCAATGCAATTTGTGGCTCTACTTCTGCCCTTTTTGAAAATCTGGGTGGAAAAATGGTGGTGGTGGCTATTTGGTGCTTCCCTGAGAGAGGAAAAGGTTTTGGCTCTTTTTTAGGTTGTCTTGGGATAGTCTAAGGCAGTGGTTCTCAACCTGTGGGTCCTCAGGTGTTTTGGCCTTCAACTCCCAGAATTCCCAGCCAATTTACCAGTTGTTAGGATTTCTGGGAGTTGAAGGCCAAAACATCTGGGGACCCACTGGTTGAGAACCACTGGTCTACACAGATCTCAGGATCGGATCCCAGGTTATCTCCTTTAAACTAATATGAGTCTCTACTGCCATATAATCTGGGATAAGCAGATAATCTAAGACCCCTTCCACCAAGCTGATTAAAATCCAACATTATCTGCTTTGAACTGGAATATATGGTAGATGCAGGTCCCTTCCATACAGCCCTATATCCCAGAATATCAAGGCAAAAAATCCCACAATATCTGCTTTGAACTGGGTTATATGAGTCCAGACTCAGATAATATGGGATTTTCTGCCTTGATATTCTGGGATATAGGACTGTGTGGAAAGGTTCTCAGATAACCCAGACTATCAAGGCAGAAAATCCCACAATATCTGCTTTGAACTGGGATACATGGCAGTGTGGACTCAGATAACCCAGTTCAAAGCAGTTATTGTGGGATTTTCTGACTTGATATTCTGGGTTATATGGTTGTGTGGAAGGGCCCTATGATCAACTCCTGGGGTATAAGCACAGTGTAGAAGGGCCTAAATTATCCATTTTTGCCACTGTACTTCACCTTAATTGTTATCAAGGAAGGAACCCTGTACTTCTCTGAGTAGAGTAGTGCACGGCAAGAGCTTAGTCTCTCCCAAGTGAACTGAAATGAAGCACCAACACCCTTTCCTACCTTGCTTCTCCCTTCTTCCTGTTGGATATCCTGATGGATATGGTCTGAATTAACTCCTGGGCAACTCCTACGCTCCAACCATCTGGTTCCTGAGTCACTTACTGATTGGAACATTGAACACTAGCAATAACTATTTGCACTCTAAATTAGTTGCTCAGCTCTTATGAAGAACCAATTTGCCGCCAGATTTCTGCGATACAGGTTCTATATCACTTCTATATACAATTTCTGACTTTTCTATCTAAATCATTAGAAGTGTGCAAAATGCCCCAAAAAATTGTTTTGTTTCAAAATATTAGTTCCATATTCATTTCATAAGTGTTTCTAAACTATCTTGAGTGGTCAGTTTTGTTTCAAATTCAAAGACCAAACAATTAGTCAATATTTTGTTTCGTTAATCCATCCATTTGCCCCAATGGAAACACTTCCTGGGCTCATTTCTCTGTCATTTTTATGAATATCAGGTTGAAACTTACTACACTTGTAGGACACCTTTAATACCATAAGCCCTCCAAGTTTTAGAATGTTCTGCTCATTCTTTGAATTTTGTGAAATTTTAAAAGTTTTTATGAATAGCTTTTTAAACAAACCTACAAGAGCTATTCCCTTGAATTTTTTGAATTTATGACACAACATAATCAAGGCCATAGTTCTTCCAAAGTTTCAGAAAGATTCACACATGCACTTATTTTTAGGGTGTTTTTTTAAAAATTAAACACCTTGGCCAAGTCATTAGTAAACAGAGGTGGGCAGATCCCTGGTTTGTAACTTAAGTTGTATGCACCTGAAATTTTGCACAGCTCTAGAAATCATATTCAGATTAACCATTCAGAAATAGAAGGAAAATATATAGTTTGGTGATCTCTAATATATACAGTGTAGGCACCACCAATGCAAGTGGCGGTCCATTGTTTTAACCACAAAAAAATGTATTTTCTGATTCAAACAACTTCATTGTAGCATCTTATATTTTCCCCCTTAGTTCTAATCACTAATAGCACAAGGTTTCTGTACACAAGGGAGTAATACACTAGCTCTATGATAAAGCAAAACCTAGGTTTCATCTGTAAGTAATGATGTGGGGTATTTTCCCTGACTTCTTGGGTCACCAAGTCCACTGGCTTTTTTGTCTCCTAGTTGCTGCTCATTCTAATGTGTTTTATTTAAGTTATACCTTCCTGTCCCTGGGAAGAAAGACCACACAAGAAATGTGATGACATCAAAACACTGAGTAGTCAATCAGATCTGATTGTATGGTGATGATGACAAAGTCAATTACAGTATGAATGAAGCAAATCTTCTAGATTGGCATTGTTCTTCCTTTGAAGGCATGAACACTCTCAACCATAACAGTCAGAGGGACAATTCTGTAACATTCAAATATTTCTCATAAAAATTGCTTTACATTTCAGCTCAGTGGTAAAATATGAGTGAAGATCAATATGAATAACCAAGATTAGTAACTAAGCCGCAAAAATAATGTATTAAAATGTATTAAAAGTTTCTTGACTAACTTATTTCTTTGGTCCAGGCTATGCTAAAATGTTCTTTTTAATTTTTAGTCACAGAACGCCTCTCCGAAACAGAGGAAGCAGAGTGTCTATACTCCTCCTGCCATGAAAGGTACTGTCCAGGTACTGTTTATTATCCTGTTATTTGTCTTATTCCCTCAATCATGGCATGAAGTAAAAAGAGACATGTTGCTGTTCACACACTTAAACAATTTTAGTGACATGCTGGGGTGAAAATCAGGGCCCTCCACTTCTTAGATCAGTGGTTCTCAACCTGTGGCTGGGATTTCTGGAAGTTGTAGGCCAAAACACCTGGGGATCCACAGGTTGAAAACCACTGTCTTACATGATGAAAATTGGTCTTAAATCAGATCTTCTTCCCCATTGCAGTTTATTGATCAGGGAACCTAATGGGATAACTAGAAAGTCATAAAGAGAACATATGAAGATGGACAATAAAATCAGCAGTAAGAAAAAGACCAAATCCTGAAGTATGAATCCTCAAAGTTCAGAATAGAAGGACGATCACACTAACCTAGTTATTATTAACTTGTGTTCTAGCTCTGGTTTTTCAATGCTTCTATATTATATAGAGATGAAGATTATATACTATAGATATAAAAAAATATGGTATAGATTTGAACATATTCCAGTAGATGCATATAAACTGGATACATATATTGTTGTCAATGATGAGATCTGATAATCTAGCATCTCTCTTGTACACATGGTTTCTCTCTCTATCTCTATCTCTCTATCTTCTCTATCTCATCATCTTTAGGCCAAACAATTTCACCTTTTGCTTGTGTCAGATTAACAGAAAATAACAGAAACAGATGAAGTATTCAATTTACTTAGCTTATGTCATCCAGAATTCTCTGATGTAGCTGTATAAAATGAGTAGGGTGTCCCCCCAGTCTTGTTATGTATAACACTATGCAACATTATTTTGTTCCTGGATTATAAATGTAATTTTGTCATAAAAACATGAAAAAAGACATCCTGCAACCATTTTGCGATCGTTTTTCAATGAATATATCACAGAATCTCAACCAATTCAACATAGTTTGTGGAAGTCTTATGCGAAGTTTCTGGAGCATAACAACTACTTTCAAAGTAAGTACCAACTAATTAAACAAGAATAACATTTTCAATCCAGGAACAGAAAAGTTTTCAAATTTTCTTGCATAGTGTAATTGATAAGAAAAAATATGGTTCTTTGGTAATGTACTTGTACATATACACATTTTAAATTCTGTATATGACATCAGGTGCTTGATTTGGCTCCAAACACATTCCAAATTCCTTGTTTTTCCCATTTGTGACACATCACTGCTACTTTGGATATAGTGCTGCTATAAGGAGGGGCCTCACGGCAGGATCCCTATTTGTTCTTCAATTAAATTCCATCAATCAGTAGAACATGCAGAGAATAGTCCAAATACTTGGTCACTGAGAACATGACTCTTACCTAGCTACTCTAAATAAATGGTAGTCTCCAAGTCCAGGTGAACTGCATCCAAGAGTACGAATGGGACTTGGAGATTTAGACTCCATCTTCACAGATCTGTTTTTTGGGGGTCGATCTAGCATGCCAGACACTGGATTGAGCCCAAAAGGAGACACCGGTGTGTGTGTGTGTGTGAGAGAGAGAGACTGCCATCCCATGTACCATGTACTTGGGTCATTCAACCCTGGGGAATGTGGGATGGCAGTCCTGCAGTTGTGGCTGGTTCTGGTTTGGAAATGGCACAACTGTCTCCACTGCCCATAAGTTGGGGAAAATATATTCCCCCAACTTAGAAGAATGTCTTTAAGATCTGCTTAACACTGAAACGAACTGCGTCAGAGGATGGTAGACTCTCCTTTGGAGGTCTTTAAGCAGAGATGAGTGTGTTAGATGTGGCAGGAGATTGGACTAAGTGGCCCTATAGCTCTATCCAATTCAAAGGGTCTAGCATTCTTGCAGATCATAGAGAATGTGTGCTATTTCTCTTTAAGAAACACTACTTGCTGAAGATGTGTCTTGTCCCATTGTTTTTATTGCCATATAGTGTGACATCCAGTTTGACTCTCTACCCGATAGGGCAGTGGGTTGGAGCTTCATGACCATAGCCAGAATTCATTCCCAGTCCTTCGAACCAATGTGAATAAAATGCCATTCTCCAGCCATTCTTGAAGTACAATTCCCAGCCTTAGCCAGCAGAACCAATGGTGATCAATGCTGGTATCTGCATTCTAACAACTGATGGAGGAGTACAATTTCTTGAACACCATCCCCCCCCCCCCCCCCCCCCCCCCCCCCCCCCCCCGGTTAACTGGACCTTCTTCAGAAACCACCTACATTTATTTATTTATTTATTTCAAATGTTTGTACCCCGCCCTTCTCTACCCCCAAAGGGGGCAGCTTACAGTCGGCAACAATTTGACGCCCCCCATATACAAACAGATAAAACAACAATTACATAATAAGTAAAACATTAAATTAGATTAAAACCATTTAAAATAGTGCAAATTAAAATTGGTTGGCCATGTCTAAGTCCGAGTTCTACGATCAACAACTTAATCCGAAGCCTGTCCATATTCCATTTTCCATAGCATTATCATCATTTTTATTGTCAGCCTGCTATCGAAATTTAGAATAGATAAATTTCAGTGAAAACTTTAGCTTCTCAAATTCGGCAAATGCTATGATTTTTTGATGAACGCTATCAAAATCGCAAGAAAATGGTCCACCACCACTCTAAAAATTGTGCCACTGAGCTGTGCTCCTTGCATACCTAAATAAATACTCCATTCAATATTTTTCGCCTTGATCTGATATCATTGCACAATTTCTCTATAGGATTGATATAATACTAGCAGCCAACTGGAAGCATACAAAGTTTCCTCTCCAAATCCCACGCTGTTTATTTTGGGCCCCTTTGTACTCCTCCTCCACAAGGTATCATCCAAAAAGTCCTTTCAGCAGGAAATGGCCTACTCCATCACCTATTCATATATGTGTTTTACTGGAATGCAGCACATTGGAAAAATCAATGTGAGTGCTATTGATTGAAGAGCTATCTCTAGAGCAAGGCAGACAGTTGCCAAGATAACTGTTCAGTACAGGATCCTGCACCGAAGGATTATATTTCTGTGCTTAATGGATGTCTGGAGACACTGTCTCCATTTGAAAAGCCTCTTTCTCCCGTTTACCTCTTTCATGTGGTGCTGATTGGATGATTCAGTACTTAGTGGCCACGGCAATAATGAATTTTGTTCATTAAAGAATTTGTTTACAGGATTTCCCCCCAGTTCTGATCTCGTCAAACAATCCTCTCCGATTTGACATGGACATGCAGAGATACACAAATACATATACTCTTAAGTATGTTTGGATCATCTGGACGTACTCAGGAGAGTCAGTCAAAGCTGCATTTTTAATTGTAATTGTTGTTAGTAGTTATGTATGATGGCTATCCCAGGGATTAATGTGGGCCTCCTCTACACTGCCATATAAAATCCAGATTATCTGCTTTGAAATGGATTATATGGCAGTGTAGATTCATATAATACAGTTCAAAGCAGATAATGTGAATTATCTGCTTTGATAATCTGAATTATATGGCCATGTAGAAGGGGTCATAATGTGTTTTGGTTGAGTTTCATGCCCCTAATGGGAATGAGTTGTAAATTAAGCACGGCTATTCCCAACATCGAGAGGATCATGTAGTATCCAACTGCCGTATACATAGTCTCTCTGAGCAGAGAAAAGATGTGGCAGTCTTAATTCAACACCAACATGATTCAAGACCAGATTGTAAAGAGTTAAACCCAAGTCATTGATGAGTCAATCTGTCAGTTTAATTTTCTCCTACATTCAAGTTGTTTTGTTTTTCCATTTTTGTTGTCATAGTTTTTTTAAGAAATGCTCAATTCTAGTCCATTCCAAATATGTTAATACTTGCACATTTTAATGACTCATTAAAAAAAATAACAAATAAAATTCTTACCCATCGCTAGCCTTGGAAAAAGTTCAGTGCAAAATGAGCCTAAGACAAGTGAAGTAAAATGATCAAGGAATAAGAGAAAACTTGAAGACATATATTAAATTTCTGGTTATATATACGCTTCGCAATTTATTATATATATAAAGTGGACACTTGTGAAATTTATGCATGTATATACATCTCTCATATATAAAGCAGCAAAGGGTACATATTTGTTGCCTGCAGCTGTAGTCCAGGCTCTGCAGGAACTGTCTGAGATACTGAAACAATTTGGGGGCTATGATGCAGTACCTTGAACAGCTCATCTAAATTTTACACTAAAACCCAGAACCAATTCACTGCTTCCCTGACATTGGAAACAACAGCTGCCACCGCCTTTTAGAAGATTGCAGTCTGGGAAGTTTGCCCATCTACACATTGCTGAGAAGATGTTCAGTTAAATAATAAATGCTTGAGAAGGGAAACTTCATGGTTACTTTCTGTTTCTTTGCTATCCTTGAAAACAGCAAAACAAAACAGCTCGGATGGATTCCTTGAGCTTGCTTATTTATTAGGGACCAAGCTCCCTCTAGTGGATTTACAAGCTTGTTACTCTATTAGTTCTGCTTCTCCAAAAGGTTTCCCTGTAGGATGGAAAATATATCCTGTCTACTCCACACATGGACTTAGAGGCCATGTAACAGTCTAAGCTATGTCAAAGAACAGAGGCCCCCACAAAACATCCCTCCCTCCAAAGTACGAGGGTTGAATCAAAAGTAATGCCTCCACCTTCATTACTTGGATTTGGATGGAAATATTTTAATAAATCAAATGCAGAAATAACCCTTAGAATGTGCTCTTTAACTACCACTATTCACTTTTCCAAATAATCACCAGACAATTGCATACTATGAACAAGTTTTCTGAAGCTGTCACGGAAGAAGTCGACACTCTGTTTCCGCAATCCATCATGCACAGATCTTCCGATAGCCAAACAAAGAAATAATGAGAACCACACGTTCTTGTGAAATGCTGATTATGCTTGAAATTTCTCTCTGAGCGATATGACGATCATCCTGAATCAATCTGTCAACATTTTTGGTTGTGAAACTTGGTGGTTCTTGTCACAGGATGTCCGACT